TAAGTGTGCACTTTGTAAAAACAAAGCTGTGAAGGGAAATTAATGACCCTATTATGTGTAAAGAAAAAGGAAGAGATGGTTAGCTAGATCAATTGAGTAAGGTTTTGTAGAGTAGAATAAGGATAAGAATTTGCTACATTGTAACCACAAACTGTTGTCAGCCTGTACAAAGGAACTGGCTGAAATATCGTTGGCTTGCTTAAAACTTTGTTAATCAATAATAAAATAATTATTGCTTTGAGGTAAAGATGCTATAGTGGAAAAAAGAATGCAAAAGAAAATGTTTAACTACATGCAAGCTTCTAAGAAAAATATGTAACTTGTAATCATAGTGTTATTTCTTATTGTATAAAGATTTTGATTTGTTTTTGGAAAATATGTAACTTGTGATTGTCAAGTGATTTTTATCTTCGGTAGAAATTTTTGTCTTAGGTGGTATAAAAGGGATAAAAGAAAAATAAAAACAGAGAATTAAGTGTTTCTCTCTCAGATGATCTCCTTTGTGCGTGGTGTGTAGTGGCCAACTCTACATCATCTCCTCTTCAGTTTCTCTTACTTGCTGGAGCTGGACTCCAGCAACCAGTGTGACCCTCCCCTTCTTCTTCTTCTTCTTCTTCTTCTTCTTCTTCTTCTTCTTCTTCTTCTTCTTCTTCTTCTTCTTCTTCTCTCTCTCTCTCTCTCTCTCTCTCTCTCTCTCTCTCCCTCCCTCCCTCCCTCCCTCCCTCCCCCTCCCTCCCTCCCTCTCTCTCTTCCTCATAGTTGTGGGACAAGATGTCAAGATGTGAGCTCTTAGCTGTTCCTTTTCTCTGCCATTATGATTTGTAATGCAAATTAAATGTGTTTTTAAATGAGTTGCCTTGGTCGTGGTGTTTTATCAGCAACAGAAAGATAACTGATACACCTGGATAGCAGTAGAGTACCATAAAATGAAAGAATGGAACAAAAGTCAGAATGAGATCACTGAAATAAGGAATGGAAAGATAATCACACGCCTTTAATCCAGATCTTTAATCTGGACCACACCTTCTGCTGGAAGTCTCTATAAGAACAAGGGAGGAAGGAAGGGTTTGTTTGCTCTTCGCCTGCTCATCCTTGCCTTACTGTCACATTCATTCCTTCACTGGCACTGAAGTCTACTTCTTCAGGATTCCAGCATATTCAGAAGACCAGCTGAGATACCCGGCCTCATGAGACTGAGCAGCTGCTAGATTCTTTGGACTTTCCACTCACAGCCAGTGATTGTTGAATTGCAGCCTGTAAGCCATTCCATTATTGAATCTACTTTTAAACTAAAAAAGCAACTACTAGTCTTAAATATTTTACATTGGTATGGATTTTTGTATACTGATATAAGTTTAAGGTCATTTTTGTTACACTGTATATACGTTTCTACTCTTGTTTAAGACATTTTTTGTATTGATACAAATTTAAGGTTATTTTTGTTAGAACATACTATACATATATTTCTACTCTTTTAAGGTATTGTACCTATGTAGCTCATTAAACAATGTAATGTGAATTTCAAGTTCTTAAAAGTTATTATTACAAATTATTTAGGATATAAAGAAATGCAGATTAGTAGTTAGTCACCTACAACAATCAAACTTGTAGTCAGGTATGTTTTCAAGGTCAAACATATATTTTATATAGATAGGTGGTCTTCAAATACTTTAGAGATCTATAGACTGTCATTGAAGAGGTTTTAATAACAAGACTTTACATGACAGTGAGACATGTCTGCTCCTGGTGGCACCAACTTACTTCAAAATAGAATGATGGGCGTCACATAACCTCCATATGGAGTTTGCTTTCTTTGTGGCAAAAGCTAGCCATTTGGGCAAGAAACTGCCATTGCCTTGACTGCTGACAGTGTACTGTACAAACTGGACAATCAGGACCAGAAAGAAGGCAACTGCTGAAATTTGCCATGAAAACCAAGGGCAGTCCTTCAAAATTCATGCTTCACAAAAAAGTCTGTCAGATATCCTAGGCCTTTAGGATGAAGATGAATGTCCCAGTGTTACAGAGGAACCCTGATTGACTGTCCAGGCAGCCAGATGTCTTTGTCATTTCTTAGTTTTGGAAGTTGTTTGCTTTGCACTTCTTGTTTACTCAAGTAAACAGATCTCTGATGGAGTTGAAGATGACATAGTTATAGTTACAGTTGCCAAATCCAGAAAAGAAACTTACAAGAGATGTAAAATGTATAAGATTGAGAAACATAAAAGCTTAGGTTATTTTTCTAGAAAGATATTTTAAGGCCCCCAAAAATATTTTTTAGGATGGTAATACAAGTTATGACAAAAAATAGTTTAGGTATAAAACTTTGGACATTTAATGCAGGTGGAAGGGTAGCAGCCATGAGTCATGTGACAACATGCAGATGAATAGAAATGAGTTAATTTAAATTATAAGAGCTAGTGGGACAAGCTTAAGCTATAGGCAAAGCTTTCACAATCAATCCTAAATCTATGGTTTTTGTTTTTGTTTTGTTTTGTTTTTGGTGAGCTGGCAGCCCAAAGAAAAATCTGCCTAATGTTTTCTATGCATAGGATACTACCTAGTGTCTCAGTCAGCTTCTTATTGCCTGCAAAATGTAGGACACTCGGCTACTTCTCCAGCCCCATTTGCCCAAGGGCAGATAAACCTGAAAGCCCCACTTGAACAACTAGAATGTTGGGGCTGTTCAGGTAAGATAACAAGTCTTGTGTTTTCCCTTTGATAAACAAGGTTGGTTACCCCAACTACAAAGAATGTGCTTTATCACACACAGGTGGAGTTATGTTGGTAGGAAGTACATCAAGATGTAAGCTTGCCCCTGATTGGACAAAGCCAGAAGTTTCTAGCCTTGTATGGCCCCCATGGACTCATGTTTTTGAATGCTTGGCCCATAGGCACTATTAGGAGGTGTGACCTTGTTGGAGTAGGTGTGGCCTTGTTGGAAGAAGTGTGTCACTATGGGGGTGAGCTTTGAGATCTCCTATGCTCAAGCTACATCCACTGTGGCACAGTCCTCCTTCTGCTGCCTGCTCATCAAGATGTACAACTCTCAGCTCCTTCTCCAGCACCATGTCTGCCTGCACGTTATGCTTCTCTCCATATTGGACTAAACCTCTGAAACTGTAAGCCAGTCCCAATTAATTGTTTTCCTTTGTAAGAGTTGCCATGGTCATGGTGTCTCTTCACAGCAACAGAAACCCTAAGACAAGCACCTAGTGTAACTCACAGCCATTCTCTTAGAATTCTGGGTATGGACCTGGTCAGTGTCCATCATCCTAGCTAGTATTTAATAAAGCTAGCTTCAAATTTGGCTCAAAAATTGTAGTAGTGGTCTTATTCTTGCCTGGTGGGATCAACACAGATACATTTGCTTTCACATATTCCACAACAAAAACTGTCCTAATCCCAAGAGGTCAGCTCTCCTCACATGTTGTGACAGAGCCAAAGCTAATGAGGCTGTCAAGAAACAACAACAAAAAAATTCATACCATTATGTATCACTGTGGTAGAGTCACAGAGGTGAGCTGTGACAATCTAAGAGATTACACTACTCAGAAAGAGATTACACTACTCAGAAAGCTCACCAGCACCCACTGTCAATACATAAGATTTTTCTGGGTAAATAACAGATCTCAAATGAATGTCAGATATTTAAATTACCCCATTCCAGCAATGGTTTACTCCTTTCTTGTCCTGACCCCACTTCCAGTGTTAAGGATTCAACCTAGAGCCTTGAATATGCTACAGCTTGTCGGGTAAGCACTCTACCACCATAGTATGTATCCCCAGCATCCTTGTCACTTCTTTAAAAAAGTCTGAGGCACTATCTCATCAAATTGCCCAGGCTGGTCTTCTTGCCCCACACCTTCTAAGCAACTGGGATTAGATGCCTGTGCCAATGAACCAGGCTGAAAACTCCATCATACACTACTTGTTATACTTGGAGGCATTTGTCTCTCTAAGTGTTCAAGTAATAGAGACTTGGTTTTCAATGTTATTATATTCCAGGCTATGCACGCAAAAGATGGGGCCTAGCAAACCATCAGTGGTGTTGCCCTTGCTCTCAAGATTAAGTTCTCCTGTAACTCTGCCAGAGCTCTAGAGGATGAGTTAGAAAAGCCTCCCTGTCTTGCAATATGACCTCTTGGCCCTAACACACTCCCACAATATCATCTACTATAATATCTTCACCACAGTCAAGCAAAATCAGTATTGTGGTTTGAACCTCCAGAAAGCTAAACTAAATAAATCAAGTTCCAAACTCAAACATTTCATTACAGGAACAAAAAGCTAACAAATGTAATGCATTTCTACAAGTGTGTGTGTGTGTGTGTGTGTGTTACCTGTGGGTAGCCAGACTGACCCAAGACTTTCTTGATGCCCTGATGAAAGGACAAAAGGAAGTTTGGTTGTGCCTTTGTCCAGGAATAGACCTGACAGGTCACTGGAACGAGTGCCTTGGAGGAGTCAAGGTTGGAGTTCTAAGAAGCCCTCTTTACTCTGGGCTGTGGTACCTACCCTGTGTCCTTTGCCAACAATGTCTGACTTAGCTCCTGGTCCCAGCTATTGCTTTTATCTTCTTTCTCATCCCCAGTCCTCCTTCTCAACATCTCATCCTGCTGGCTCAGGTCATGTATTTATTTCCTCCCTCACATCTAACAAATCTAACAAAATCCAACTGAAAGTGGTTTTTGTTGTTGGATTGTTTGTTTTTGGCTGCCCATTCCTATCCATTCTTAAATAGATTCCATTTTGTGTATGTAGTATGAACAGAGAATGCCACAGAGTTCCCAAGCAGATAAATTCAGAGACAAAAAAGTTGTCAGTGACTGTCTGGGCAAGGTAGAATGGAAGCTACTATTTAGTATCATTTAATGTGGACCAGGTTCTGAAATGGATGCTGAAGACTGCAGGATATTGTAGATGCTCTTAATACTACAGAAATATACATAAAAAAACAGAGGTAAAATAATAATAGAAAAACAATGACACAGCATACCAACTTTTCAGACATGACCAATTTATTTGAGGAATTCAAATTTCACTTGTCAAAGTATATCCAGGGGCAAGGTTTGGGATAATTATGTCACCAGAAGCAATCATATTTTATACAGTTAATTGACCATGGGGTAGTATCTAGAGGAAAGGCAAAACTTAAAAAAAAAAAAAAACTAAAAACAAACAAACGAACAAAAAACCAAAACAAAAATTAGTGTGTGTGGAGTGGTAACTACAAGTATCAGCAAAGGAAACAACTAGCTTATACTACTGAGGCATGAAGCATGCTAACACTAGTAGTGACCCTTTAGTTCAATTCAACACACAATCTGGACTAATTTGTGCGAGACTAGGTATTGGGAGTATGGTAAAACACACACACACACACACACACACACACACACAAATCAAAGACACACACTCTATCTCTTTATCAAGTGAACTAACAGCCTTTACAAAAGTGGTGTGGGGAGGCACAAAGCACTCTTCAAAGGCCATGGGAGGAGATTTCTTCCCAATGAAGTTCAGTTGACAATGGTCTCCACTTCTGTCTGGTGGAGTGGGTTGGAAGATCAGAGCCTGCTAAGAAAATGTGGCATCTCTGCATCAAGAAACGGCTTATTTCCTCCATGGCTTTAAATGTGTAAAAAGTATTCAGAGGTAAAATATTTTAATTTCTCTTACTGTTGACCCATTTTCAGAAATGGATTAACAGAAAGTGAGGATGAAAAGTTTAGAAGATCAGGGAAACCACAGTTCTGGTGATGCAGGCACGGCTGCTCCAGGCAGCACTGTGAATGTATGTTAAGTCTTAGCAGTGCTGCAGCCCATCACTACAGACCCTGTTAAGACGACAAAGGCTGGTTCTGGCCTCTGCCTCTGGAAGGGTACCTCTCCAGAATACTCTACATAATGAAGGCTGAGGCCATATTTGGGGTCATGAGATTGTTTTCAGATTAAGTATCTCACGTTAACTTACTATGTTTCTTTCCTAGTTTAAAAAAAAAATGGAGGAACATGCCTCTCCAGAATGACAAAGGTACCACTTGTTTTACACCTTAAAATAATTTAATTATTTTAACAAAACACCACAACCTCTTTTTTTGCACTTTACACAGACACATTATATAATACTTTAGGGAATGATCACAGACATGGTATATAATCAGCTGTTTTAGCATTATTCATCATTCTTAACTTCAGTTTGACTTGTATTATCTCAAAGAAAAACATCTCATTTCTTCCATTAAATTAATTTACCACCCATCTCAAAAAATAATTAAAAAAACCCACAAAAGTTCTTTGTCAATTTTTGTCAATGCTAAGTCAGAATACATATAACTGCCAGGCTTTTATAAAAAGGAACAAAGTACACCTATCAGTACCTCACAGAATCATGTCATTGCAGAACTTCACTATTATGAAGCAGCCCTCACAACTGTGGCTGGGCAGGGTTAGAATCCTTTCCTCATTAAGAACTCTATTGTGTCACAAAACACAGTATTATTTAACTAACAGACCACCATAACTCTACCACTAACAGCTGTTTTTTTTTTTTTAACCAAAATTACCCCAGAGGACTAGAAAAGATAAAGTAGTCCCAAATGATTTACTTAAAAGTAAAATTTGCAAAATGTGATCTATCCTGGTCTTACATTTAATTAAGAACCAAATGATGAAACATCATTTCAGACTTATATACATCATGATCCAGTTCTTAGAAAAATGTACAACTGTAAAGGCTACATTATGCAAAAATAATTTATCAATTTTATTTAATTTTAATGACTTTCCCCAACTCCGATATAAAAAACATTAAAAGAACTTAAAGTTTAATGGGAAAAAGCTATTTCCCCCATATATTAAAAAAAAAAGTGTTTTGTATTGGTAACATACAATGCCCTATTTAAGGCACAACTTTTTTTTTTTCTTAAGAAAAAACCCCACAGACTAGGTTTTTGTTTTTTTGTTTTTTCTCTACACAGTTATAGGACAGGGCCACTTTGCAGGTATATCATTAAAAACATCTTAATCCAGACCCAAAATGAAAAACTATTTCTGTTTCTACACATCAACGATCTACACAGCCAAGATAGGTAGTTGCAGCTAGAATAATCACAACAGTTCTTGCTTTAACCTCCCGGGTTGTCCCAGGAAGGTCACCTTCAGCTATCACCAAGCTAAAATGGGTGCTTTCTGTTCTACACTGGCCCTCCACTGTACTTCTGTCTGGGTGACCAGAGCACTACCACCTCCACAGCCAGAGTAATTAATATTAGGTACTTGAACTTAGCATCTAAGAGCAGGGTAGGGCAGGCAGGGTGAATGCTAGCCTCTCACCCTATTGATATCTCTCCTGAGCTTCTGCACCTTCCTTCTCTTCACCACCTGGCCCTACCTACTGACAAAGTCTTCAGAACAGTGCAAAGTAGCCCCAGGAAACAGAATCCACACAACTGTCAGATAAACATAAATCTAGATGTTCTTGTCAGTTCACTATACAACGCTAATACCTCATTTGAGTGTTCCAGTCAAAAAACAACATAAAACTGGGGAAAGGAGAAAACTCACGAAGACGAATTTAACTGTCTTGTAGGGCCTTGTAAACTCAACTGAAATAGCGAGGGACATAAGAATGAAAACCAACAGAAAAAGCAGGTTTCTTCAAGCGGGCTTACCTATCCAATTCTCTGGCATATTCCAGGCTTGTATAGAGATTATATATAGAGATGGGTAGGAAGATGTGCTTTGTAAAAACATTAGTATTGATATACATGACATGAACTTTATGGTGTTGAAAGTGATTTTCTTTACTTCTCAGTGAGACTCAAAAATAATGGTTAACCAGATCTCTTCCAGGACTGATCACTTTCACTGTGACCTTTACCAGAGTCTCAATTCAGTATTCAGTGGCCAATATAAAGAGGAATGAGTTTATAAAAGAATTTTGGGTTAAGCATGGGGCAAGGTGGCATATCAGCTAAGAAAGAGGGCCAAAAGGAAAGACGGGGCAGGGCAGCAAAGCGTTACAAGGGTGGCTGAGAAGACAGCTGATGACACTGAGGGTCTGGATGTCTGTTTCTACTAAAGGGAAAGCAGGTAAGTTTCCAAATGTAAACTTGCTTAGTTGGTTATGTTTAGAAAGAAAACAATTTAATGTTAATTCTGAGAGATATTACATACTCGACAGCTAGTACATTCTGGCACAATACCACATAAATAAATATAAATACCATTTTCCTTGTAATGTGTATTGGCTCTTAAGCAAAATTTTAAAAAAATGAACTGTCTATAAAAGTATGTAAAAATCATTAGTAACTAGACAACACCAACAAATTATAAAATAATACTTTCAACTTTCAGCCAACACCTTAACTTTTGAGCTTAACACAGAAATCATTCATATCCTTAGTTATACACATTAAAGAAATTAGAAAATAAAGCCATCACGCTTGCTAATATGAACTAGTTTTGCTTCTACTCAATGATAAAAGTTTCCGAACATTAAAACATTTTTAATTATATTCCATTTCCTGTTTTGATGTATTACAATGAAAATAAAGGTCCAATAGGACTCTGGTGAGTATCTGCTTCTGCCATCTCCCTGGAGAAAGCAGGGTTTCATTTATCTCGTCATATTATTTGGTAATTAGATTATGTGCCTGAAACAGTTTTCAAAATTCACAAGTCTTGTTAAATAAATACTAAGTTTCCAACTTTCAAAACTTTGAATTTCCACTGCACGAAGGCTAATTTGCTACCAGTTGCTAAGTATAAGGTACAGCACTTGCAGTGTGCTAAGATCCAGTACACTAATAAAGAATGATGGGCTTTGGACCCTATGACATGCGAACCTACAGTGTGCATGTCTAATAGGCTAGCAAGTCCCTCCTGCTCAATTTTACCTCTAAAATAGGAAAATAAATTGAAAATTGCTTTAGGGTTACATTTTTAAGAAAAGAAAATATGAGAAATTCCTCATTAAAGTTTATAAGGATATCAAAGCCACATGAAAAACATGATTATTTACACTGATTCTGTAATCACACTAAGAAAAACCACTCACACTAACAAATACAGCTCAGAAAACAAGTTGCTAGAGCAACACAACAAATCCAGATCAGAAAACAAGCTCTTGTTATAACAACATGACAAATGCCACCATCTTTTTCTAACCATATTTTGCCAATTGAACAAAAAACACATCTTCATCAATTTTGATGACAGTAATCTGAAAGGAAACTACAGGCTTATGTCAAAAGTGATTCCTTTGAGAATCTGGTTATTGAGTCTCCTAACAGGTAAAAAGGAGCTGTGCCCATTCTTGATAATAAGAATAAGAGAATCTCTACTGATAAACCTGGCAAGGTTTCAAAAATCTACTAAAACAAAATTCCTGAAAAATAACTAAAACTAGTCAGTCCATCTAATGTGAAGTAACTTTCAATTATTACAGAATCATTTATATTCTTACAGTGTCTTACAGCATATTTTATCTCTAATGAGAAAATACAGCAAACCATTGAAACTTAAAACCAACTTTACAGGTAAAGACTAAATGCTGGTCAATAGAGAAAGGATGAACGAATGCACCTTCCAAAAGGAAATGAAAATCAACAGTAACATGGCAGAAATGCTGAAACCATAGATACACTTTGATCAAAACAAAACACACATTCACAAAAAGTTCCAATTATAATGTAGTTCATCATTTGTCTATATTTTCTATCAGCTGGTGAATCTGTTAGTAAAATTTCAAAGAAAATAATCTACTTAAGACTTTTCTACTAAATCCATAGAAATGGTAGATGAACAGAGCACTTGTTGCATATTAATGAATATGAGACTTCTTGTGCTTTCCATCTGAGGAATAAAAATCACCAATGACTTTATTTTCAATAAGATACAACCTCAAAGTTACACTAAACATCTACATAAAACCAAGCCTTCCTCAAACCCAATGCTCTATGAAAGTATCAACAGTGCAGACTCATGATTTGTTGAGTGAAAATGGTGACTCATAACAGTGTAGACGCAGCTCTAGATTTTAATCCACAAATATATATATACATATATATATATATGTGCCTTGTGTATGACAACTGTATGAAAATAGTCTCAAAAATAAAGACAATACTTGAGAAATGAAGCAACCTAATTTCCCTGATTTTGCGTCCTATTACAGGGAAAGTAAGTCTCTGATGCTTCATAAGTACTTCCTAAGTTCAGGATGGCCTTAACCATGCATAGTCTCCACCAGTCCTTTGAAGCTTCCAACAGTTCAGGCTGAACAATTTACCCCTGGAAAAGTTGCACCCTGTGGTCAGGAATGCTTATTGATGTCCTGACTTTTCTAAATCTGGGAGTTTTCTGACCAGAGCTTGGTGGTTCATTTTGATGCTAGCAAGGAGTCCCCCTTCAATACCATCAGACCCAGTATAACTGATCTCTTCACCACTCAGAGTGGTCATATGCCCTCCAAGGGCTTTTAGGATGGCATTGCCAGCACATATATCCCACTTTTTGATGTACGTCACATGAATATATAGATCTGCTTTTTCTTGACTCATATCAGGCACATCTAAGAGTGCTAAAACTTTATAACCTAGAAGATAAAGAAAAATTTAGGTTATTACTCAAATGACTTAATAAAAAGTGTGCAAACTTTTCAAGTACACAGTTGAAGGGAACAGGATGAGATCTTTATGAGCATTCCACACTGCCTTTGCCTAAATCTAAAAACATAATCATGCTTACAAGTCACAACCCCAATATAGGCTCGATATAGCAACAGTACCATCAAAATAAGCTTACTAATATAGTTAAGCTAGTCTCAATTATAGGAAGCCGGTCTATGACACATATTTTAAAAGAGCACTACTCCACTGTCTTTTAGTAACGAGGTACAAAATTAAAAAAAAAAAAAAAAAAAGAGGAGGAAGACATCACATCTAGAATCTAGTTCATCTCAATTCTCCTAGCTATTCTGGACATCTACTTTTCCTAAATAACCTAACAGGCATCCTCTAAGGAAAAATCTAGGAAAGCAGTATATACAACTGGCAAATTAAACATATCAGGTTGCAAAGTGTCATTTTTCTCCCATCCAACTACTTCTATCTTAGCACTGCTGAAAATGGACTGGAACACAAATGTTTTCTGATTTCAATTTATTTACTTGAATTAAAAAAATTTCTGACATGATAAACATTCATCAAATGGCCTTTTCAAGCCAAATCCAGATTACTGTCTGCTCTTGTACAGATCTCATAGTAATAAATTAAACATTTTTAAAGGTGGTTTAATTAAATAATAATATGCCAAAAACTACACATGGCTCACACTATCTGAGTATTTACTACTGCCCATTTTCAGAACTGTGGGCTCTGATTTATAATCAGGTAGTAAAGAGCAGGAGATATATGTTAAAATGGGTGAGCATAATACTTTCTTGCTCATCCTAGATGTACAAGTTGAAGAGTTCAGTGATCTAAGGTTTAGTCATTCTAGCAATCCCTAGGATGATGCCTGATAGCTTTCTGCCATAGAAACATCTCAAGTCTTCCATCTTTCCTCCTGACAGGCCCACCATTAAACACATAGAACAATTATTTTAGAGTCAGGTCACATTTAGAGCAGCCTTGCTGGTGTACGGGTATACACTGGGGGCAGTATGCTTTTGTGGTAATTTATGAAGAGCTACCATGAAGTAAGACTTGGTTTCTGACATGTAATGGTAATGCAGTCCTACCCTAGAGATGCCCCATAGGAGTCTGAGCCTGTCTCCAAAGTACACTGCCTCCTTATTCTATGCCTATGTATTGAACAAACAATTTGGTCTCCTGAGAAATCTGTGCCCATGCTGGAACATACTATGGAACCACAAGATGGGGAGAAGCAGGGGGAACATACCAGCACCACCAGCTGGGATGATTGATGTCTGGTTTCCAAAGGTCTGCAGAGCAACCTGTTTGACCATCCCAGCATGAGAGCGAGACACAATGATCTTTGGGGTCTTCTCATTGTAGGAAGAACGGGCTTTCACATTTGAACCACCATCTACCATTGCCCAAGCTGAAAAGCAAACGGGATGCCCATTAACAGTCCTGAAGGTTTATAATTCCAAAGCATTATACAAATTACAATCTTCAGAACCAAGTGACTGAAAAAGAAAAAGTCATTTTCTACAGACTTAGATCATTTCCCTCAGATTTTTTTTTTTTTGGTTAAGTACAAAAATTACTTAATTTTTTAAAGTAAGAAAATAGGCATGCATTGAAACAAAGCTTCCAAGTGCTCTGTGTCCTTCACAATTAGAATAGCTATCAAATATTTGGCATAAGAATTCTGGTACCCTCCCCATTACCAAATGGCCTCTATTGAGACCACCTTGTAACTCAATTCCTAGCTATACTTAGCCCATTTTCTTTCCTCCCTTCAAAAATTTCACAGTCCTTAACAAACATCTTGACATTGAGTTCATCATCAAAGTCAGATTCAGGGAGCATAATCTGTGACAAGAACACAATTGTTTGGATAATTCAAATTTCAAACTTGATTTTCTTCTATCTCTACTTCTGATACAGTCATGGTTTTATATACTTGCATACTGCTCATTCTCCCAAATGGCTTTAAACACACAAAATAGTTAATGAAGTGAGTTAGGTTTACAGACTGTCATATCAAGGACCATGTCCTGGTGAGTCGTCTTGACATACTCGTGAAGAAGGAACCTCAACTGAAGAATTGTTTCTATGAAACTGGCCCATGGGCATGTCTGTAGCGTATTTTCTTGACTGCTACTTAATGTAGGAGGGTCCAGCCTATGTGGCAGTACTATCCCTAGTTCAGTGGGCCTGGGCTGTATAAGGTAGCCGAGCAGCTAAAGAGATGGTTCAGCATTTAAGAGGACTTCCTGCTCTTCCAGAGAACCTGAGTTCTGTTCCCAGCACAATGTCAGGTATCTCACAATTGCCTTTAACTCCATCCCAAAGGATCCAATTGTCTCTACTAGCTGCTGTGGGCACCCTTACATGTGGCATACACTCACTAAGACACATTCATATACATAAATAACACTTTAAGGAAAGTAGTTGCGTGTGGGAGCCTGGGAACAAGCCAGAAAACAGCATTCCTCTGTAGATTTTGCTTCAAGTTCCTGCCTTGGCTTTCCTTGATAATGGACTGTACTTTCCAAGATGACATCAACCCTTTCCTTCCTATGTTACTTCTGGTCATGGTGTTTATCCCAGCAACAGAAAGCAAAGTACGACAGAGCATAAAAATACAAAGTCAGTTGAATGTGGAAGCTCATACCTAGAATCCCAGCATTAGAGAGGTTGAAGCAGGAGGGCTATGAGTACAAGTCCACTGCAGAATGCACAGTTCCAAGCCACCCTGGCACAGAGTGTGAGACCCCCATCTCAAAAAGACTGAGTCAAAGAAACAAACTAAGGAACGGGTAGTGGTGGTACAAGGAGGTTTGAAAGGAGGGAGTGGCTTCCAGAGATAGCTTGAAGTGCATATTGGGGTTTAAGTTTTCCTCACTCTGGGGCAAACAATGCAAGAAAGCAAATTTAGTCAAAAGTAAACCAGTTAAATTGCTATTCTAACACTCACTCACTATGGGATACCATGATTAGCAATGAATGTAGTTTATTCCTGGCTACAGGAAAAAGAAAAAAAGAAAGAGAGGAAGGTCTGGGTTTCTGAGTCACCATGGATGATGGCAGTCATCTAAAAGCTATACACAACCACAAGGGAAGTGAATATAAAGCCTTTTCATCTATATCTCCAGAGTAAGTAGGAAACAAAGACAAATCCAAACAGATGAGAAAGCAAGGAAACAAACACTGCAGATCAGCACAACAACTGTCAAATACAATCTCTGTGTGTCTACCCTAGCAGGAGCTTCAGAGAAGTACCAAGAGGTTGGCCAATTCTCAATGATGGGAGAACTCAGCTAATAGGAGCCAAGGTTCCCTCTTGACCCGAAATTAGTCAATATAACACTTAGAAAAGACATGGAAACTGGGGAAGTGAGAGGAAGAAGACATCTTTGACATTTGGAAAGGCAACTACAGCTGTAAGAAGGCAGTGGTCTCCCAGGAACAAGACAAAAGAAATAAAGCAGGTGTCTAATAAGAAGCCTCCCATCTCACAGGGGAGAAAGCTCCTGGAGAAGGAGCATCCAGTGGCATCCGATCAAAACGCCCAGAAGAATAGGTGTCCTACGGGAGAAGTGGCCTGCTTTCCAAAACAAGGAAAGACATGGGGCTAAGAAGTGCTGGAAGCTGTTCCCCATGAAAAGTACAGAAGGCAACAGTTTTGTGGCTAGAAGAAATCCACCTCACTTGACAGGACCTTGTTTTAAGGAAGCAGCTACATAAATCCATTCCAGGAACATGCAGAGAAATGAAAATATTGAATGCCATGGGGGAATAATGGTTAGCTGAGGCAAAATACAGTACCTGTAGCTTTAAAATACACTGGAGGAAAAAGCTCACGAGTACTTACCATAATTTTGTGTTTGTATTTATAAAAAGTTTCAAAAGGTGAAAAAAAAATCTCTAAATTCTTTTCTAATTAGCATTCACTAACTATTCTGTTTTACTAAGAAGTGAATTTACAATGCTCTACCTCTAGGGGTCAGTATTGTATAGGATACTAGCAATTACTAATTCAGTATTAAAAAGGCACTTCATGTTAAATATGCAATACATTAATATATAGCACTTACATGGATAATTATTTTTTAGTTTTACTTTTAAATTATGAGTAAGCTGTGTGTAGGTCTGTAAACACGAGTGCAGATGCTAGGAAGTCAGAATAGGGTGCAGATCCCTTGGGGCAAGAGTTTCAACAGGGAAGCTGAGAACTGAAACTTGGGCCCTCTGCAAGAGTAAATAGGTACGCTTAACTATGGAACCATCTCTCTAGCTTCAATGAACATATTTAAATTAGATTTAGGTGACAAAGTAAAAGAGTAGCTACCTAATGTGTTTATTTTATGATAAATAAAGAAAAGCTCTACCTGTAATCTCCTGATACCGAGCACATGAAGTCCAAGGCAGCACAATGTCTCTTGCTCCTCTGACTGCATTAGTTACATTTAGCTACACAGAATGTAAATCTGATTATTGTGGCTCTGCAAGTAAGCCTAAAAAGCAGATGTGGTTCAGTGGTTCAAAAACCTAATGTTTGTTTTTGCTTTTTTCATTTTATAAGGTATACTGTGATTATATATATATACATATATATATGCAGTGCCAAAATATAATCTTGAACTTTTTTATTTTTAACATATTTTTATTATTTCAGTGTTTCATACATGCATAGAATGTTTTTATTTTTCAATTTTAACAGCTGTACGAAACTACCATACAAATTTGATGATACTAATAGTACCCATAATACATGGTCATAGTTTTCAATACTGGCAATGTGGACATTGTCATCTTGGAGAATGGTGGTGCCAAAGCTCATAATATTAGTCCTATGAGTTGACGGGAATTAACCAATTAAAAGCACCACAAATCCTTGCAGCAGTCAGCAATAATATTTATACTAACTACTCTTCCCCCACAACAGTAATAACTTATGTTGCCATGGTGAACTTGAGACTACTACCCATACCTTAGAAAACCAGAAGAACACAGGGAGCCTTGCTGAATGAGGAACTGTACTGTAATATCTTCCCCGCTGAAAGGACTCTAGCCAGTAAAAGCATGGCAAACATGGCTCTAGCAAGCCTTGCCCTTCTCCCCTATTCCCTCTGCCTTGCTAAAAAAACTGTTAGATTGCATTCCTAAAGTTGGTCATCAAGGTCTATTCCCTTATTTGGCCACTTCCTCCTCTTGAGGCTGATTACCAAGGCCCAGCTAACAAAGAATTGAAGTCCAGCAATCAAAAAACCCCTTTGGCTCACCTAATTACTATGCCCATTAAATTAAACACCTCATCCTAACACAGGGTTTCTCCTTTCATCTTTATAAACCACCATTTGCTTATGGCCCCCATCTGTCTCTGCTCTAATCATAGGCAACCAACAAGTACCCCTTTCCCCTCTCCCTTCTTCCCTTCCCTTTCTCCCTCATCCTCTATCTTTTGTCTTTGTCTCTTATTTCCTGTCCTTTGTCCCTCTGCAGCAAATAAATCTCCTTTATGTTGAGAACTTGGTCTTAGGGTGTCTTCAGCCGACTTCAAGGTTCCCCACACCTGCATCCACTGTCTTTGGCAGGGCTATAAGCAAAGGTCATAGCCTAACTGAGGAAGAAGTTCCTTGACATGGTCACCCATGTCTTCTTAGAACACAGCCATCAGTGACCTGACCTGCATTTTGTAGGAAACTAATAAACACGATCGTATGAAGAAAGGACCCTAAGGATCTCTAAAAGATGTGTGCTATAGCTACCAATGGGGCAGCTACTCTCCCACTTCTGATGTGTAAGTATCACTCTTCTTTATCACAATATCGAGCTCTGCATGATACAACAGATTTGGCTAGAACAACTATACAGCTTTACAAAAGAATCCAGTGTAAGAATCCTAGGCCTCACCTCCAAGAACACCATGAAAGAAACACAAGACACCTTGCTGGAGAATGTTTCTACCTAATAGTATTTCCAAAAGATTATTTTTTCTTAGAAAGCTGTGTTTTTTCACATACTATCAGTGTCAACCATAAAATCCTCACCGTAGTCAGTAGTGTACATGGGTGGGGGACAGACTCAATTACTAAAATCCTAGAATAATGGTTAAGTACTATAGACAAACAATTCAGTACCACTGCCTCTCAAAGGTGCTCATGTATACTTCATACCTGTATATTCAGAAAATGGCTTATGAATAACTCCTAGCACAGGTTTGCCATTCACAGCTACACACACCATGGTAGTGACATACTTTCGAAGATCCTCTAGGAGAAAACAAAAAGGCATGGCTGTTAAAGTATTGTGTTTGATTTCAGTACACAACAGGATACTTACTTCATCAGAATTTAGATGTGTGAAATACCTTTCACAAACAAAACTGCCCTAAGCAGGAGAGCTGCTAAGTAGTTATGAGATCTGGTTACCTGGGCTAATCACTCAGTCCATCATTTTAGTAACTTCAGTTCTTGGGGCAAATTAAACTTAGTTTCCTAACCCATATAATACTGATAACAATTATTTATCTTTAGATATAAATTAAAGTAATTTTTAATTTTATAATTAAATTTAAAAATCAAGTTAGAAATTTAAAATAGTCTTGTACACAGGGATATATGATCACTAATTATGATGATGTACTCAGGCCAGTTAATTTAAAAAACTTCTTTCTGCCAACAAGCTCAACAGTCTATGTTTCTACTATTTACTCATAAAAATCAGTTTTGCAACTTTAGTCATTAAATATATACACACACACACACATATATATATATATATACCCGTGCCTTCTCTTCTTAATAGTAATAATCTATTGAGTACATATTATGGTTCAAATTTAGTATACAGAATGCCAAGGTGAAAAAGTACAAATTCACACACTCTAGGGGTCTTACCTTATAGAGGGACAAATTAATTTTAACATATACCATAAAAGAGTAAAGCAGGAATTAGATACTGCTGTGTAAGAAAGAACCTGAGAAAAGACCACAGAGATGAAACTTGAGCTGGGCAAGAATAATGTGAATGTGTACGTGTTTGGGGATTGGTGGTGATAATCTTGTTTTGCTACTTTTCACTTTCTGGCTCCAAAAATTTAGTATTTTGAATTCTTATGTCAGATGTATATATAACAAAACCTGAATCTTAATACCCAAAGTAAATATTATATTCTGGCTAATACTTTTCCTAGCTGTCGATTAGTATGCTCATCAGAAGAATATGCTATGGTATGGGAAACAAGAGTGAGAATCACCCATCCAGTCTAAATGGTTCATAAAATACCTTAATAACCTATCCTGCTTGTCTGGAAATCTAATTGGATTCTTAAAATCTAACTGGAAAATTTGTAAAGTATTTGCCCCCATGCACATACTATCTGCCCTGGTCTGTGTTCTCTAATATAAACTGACAATCTAACATTTAGGATTCACCTGTGTATTCCTGTGTAGCATCAAGCGGGTCAATCCAGACAGTCACACTTTCTGCAGGTACCTCCTTAGGAGCAGCTATTTCCTTCAGGATGTCCTCAGGAATCTTACGATTCCATACAATGACCTCCTTGTCAGATGCATCCACGTGTTCCTCAGTATTTATCTACAGTGGAAATAGTTGGTGTTACAAAGGAGAAAATCATTATTACTTAATAAATCTCAAAAAATGCATCTCAGATAATTCACATAAATTCTTATTAATGAAAAACCTTAAAATATTTCAAGGAATTCAATGCAAAATTTAAAAAAAGCATCATAAAAAACACTGCAGTGACATTTTATCTTCAAATACTTTCTAATCTAATCTTCAAGTTTAGTGTTTTGGTTAATGATGACTGAGACTCCAAGTACAGACAGGGTCCTAATACAAAATGAGAAACTTTATCAAAGAAGTTAGTTAGTCAAGGCTGAATCAAGAGTAAATGTCCTGAGGGGTCTGAAGTTGTGGCATGTCTACAGTCCAGTGCAAGGGAGGGTGATGGAAGAGGAGTGTGCCTCAGGCCACCCTTAGGCTATATCATGGAACTCATTTTTAAAAAATAGTAAAAAAAAATTCTAAAGTCTGAAAATAGATATTTTTCTAGAACACTGGATATAAGCAACTACAATTAGAAGCAAACAGAACAATAAAAATGCAGTTATACAAAGGATTTGCCTTAAAAACAGAATTTGAATGCTAAAGGATAAAACGGCTGAGGGAATTAGTTGTCTACAATGAACCATTTAAGCAGTAAGGAAAAGAAATCCTGGAACACTAAATAGATAAGGTAGCATATTACAAAACCTAAATAAATTGAAATAAGCAATCAAAAAAGGACAAAAAAATGAATGTCTAGCTGTCTTGTAACTATACATCAAAGATGTATCGGAAGGTAAGAAGGTAAAGTAAAAATTTCTGTCTTTTCATTCATATAAGAAAAAATTAAAACATAAATCTGATTTATCATAAATACATAAAATTGTGGAGTGAGGAGAGAATACATATAAATATATTTTTATTTCATGTATAGAAGTGTTTTGTCTGCACGAATATCTGTGTTATCACATATGCCTAGTGCCCTGGTGGCCAGATGATGGTGTAGAACCCCCACGAACTAGACTTATAGATGCTTTGTGAGCTGCCACGTAAATGCTAGAAACTAAACCTGGATTCTCGCTAAGAACAGCAAATACTCTTAACTGCTGAGCCATCTCTCCTGTCCCCAACAAACACAGTTTTCAGAGCTGGTACTTTCCATAAACCATCATATATATGGACACATGTATAGTAAGAATTCTGTTGAGAAAAGGACACTGCACGTTTCTTTAAATTGGCATTTTTCACCATGGCACCCCAATTACTCTGAGTGAATAAAAATTGTTATGAAGCTACTCGTGCATTGTAGGCTGCTTTGAGCAGCCCTGGCTAGATAGATGCCTATAAAACCTCTCAAGGCGTATCCATAAGTTTTGAGAATCAAAAATGTCTCCAGATGTTGCCAAAAAATAGACCTCCATCCTGCCCCACATAGAATCACTGCTTTACATATTGAATGTATTATTGTAAACATTGTCAAAGCCCACTGCTAGGGAGCCTGTAGGCCTGAAGGAAAACTCATTGATGTTATCTTTCTGAATTATATAATCACATTGTCTTCTAAATATTTATGTTTTGGTGCTCATCCATGTATGTAAGTGTACCACATGTATGCCCAGGGAGGCCAAAAGGAATTCAATTCCCTGGAACTGGAGTTAAGACAGTTGTGAGCAGCCATGTGGGTCCTGGGACATAAATCTCATTCCTTTGCAATAGGATCAACTGCTCTTAACCACTGAGACATCTTGCTAAACCCTAAATATTTTTATTTATATTCATAGATTTGTGCTGCTCCAACCCTGGTCAGAGAAACTTTTTACTGCAGTGCAGCAGATAGTGGATAGCGCAGGGACACCATGCCGTTCAGACTGCACACAGTAAGTGATATGATATGAGTGCTCACAGTCACAGATGAGACATCAGCTCTGTCCCCACCAAGGCTCAGGGAACTTCTACAAAGAGGAGGTAGAAAGAGTGCAAGAACTGCAGAAGGGAGGAGATGCTGTGAAACACTATCCTGTAACATGGCTGTTTCACACATGAACTCACAGCAGCAGTGGTCATTCATATAAGCCATGATTTGCAACTGATGACTAAGCAATGAGACAACACAAAAGAACTTGAAGAAAAATTCCATATTATCAAGTATAAAATATCATCAATTGCATTTTGATATATTAGTAACAAATATTTCATTTTCTTTGCTTAATACTGACTCCTGAAATTCTTTTCTGCAGTATTCGAATTAAGGATCCCAGCTAAGTAGAGGTCTCTGAAAATAATTTCTCGGGCTACCATAGGCTATAGCCTAGGGCCTTTCCTCCCATTGTCACTGACAGTGGGAGTCAGTGAGTCTTGAAGATTCTACCTCCCAATTTTGTACCACCATGTCTACCAAGAAAATACTTGTTTAAGCCATTAGGGTCATTTTCTCACTGGATTCCTATAATAGCCTTTACATTTTTCCTATGTTCTGTATCATATTCACTTATTTATTCAACAAGTATTTAGCTACTGAAATAGAATAATGCATAAATCAGACAAAAATAATTTCCTCTACACAGTTTTCCTTATTTATTTACTTACGTATGTACGTATGTATGCATGTATGTATGTCTCTCATACATTACATCCCAATTGCAGTTTCTCCTCCCTCTACTCCTCTTGCTCTTCCCCAACCCCATCCCCCAGATCTGCTGTTCCTCCATGTCCCTTCAGAAATGATCAGGCTTCTCAGGGATATAAACAGAACATGGTATACAAGATATGATAAGGCTAGATATAAACCCTTATATCAAGGCCAATGAGGCAACCCAGTAGGAGGTAAAGGGTCCCAAGAGCAGGCAAAGGAGTCAGAGACAGGGCTGGAGAGATGGCTCAGTGGTTTAGAGCACTGGCTGCTCTTCCAGAGGTCCTGAGTTCAATTCCCAGCAACCACATAGTAGCTCACAACCACCTATAATGGGATCTGATACCCTCTTCTCTTGTAAAGTCATACATGCAGAAAGAGCACTCATACATGAAATAAAATAAATAAATCCCCACTCCTACTGTTAGAGTTCCATAAGAATACTAATCTATACAACTACAACATATATGCAGAGGACCTAGCTCAGACCCATACAGACTCCGTGACTGTCACTTCAGTCTCCATAAGACCTATGAACTTAGCTGATTCTGTGGGCATGTTCTCCTGGTATCCTCAACCCCTCTACAATCCTTCCTTTCTGCAGGGTTCCCTAAGCTCCACCTAATGTTTAGCTGTGGGTCTCTGCATCTGCTCCCATGAGTTGCTAGATGAAGATTCTCTGATAACAACTGATCTATGAGTATAGCAGAATATCTTTAGGAATCATTTCATGGATATATATATGAGATGTGTGTATATATATATTCAATATATACATGTATTCATTCAGTTGTATATGGTTCTATCCTAGGTCTCTGGGCTATCCAGCCTCTGAGTCCTGGTCCTCCAGGCAGTGTCAGGAGACATACTTAGCCATTAGGTAAATATAAGTCAAAACAACTTTGAGATTCCATTTTATACCTGTCAGAATTGCTAAGATCAAAACCACAAGTGACAGCTCATGCTGGCAAGAATGTGGAGCAAAGGAGCACTCATCCATTGCTGGTGGGACTACAAACTTGTACAGCCACTATGAAAATCAATTGGGAATCAATCCATCTACCTCAAGACTCAGCTATACCACTTCTGGGTATATACCCAAAGGATGCTTCATCCTACCACAAGGACACTTGATCAACTCTGTTCATAGCAGTCTTATTCAAAATAGCCCAAAACTAGAAACAGCTTCCCTTCTTAACAACTGCCATTATGTGAAATCAGATCATGCCATTCCCAATTTAAACAATACCACCACCACCACCACCAACAAAACTCCCAATAACTTTCAGCATGTAGAGATTAAATCCAGAGTTGTCACATCTACAAGGTAAATCGTAGATGATCTAATGATAACAAACACTATGCAGAATGTCTCTCAGTTTGCATATTTATGTATGGACTCCAAAACTTACCATCTTCTTACAGGGGTCTTTATACGTGCTGTACTCCTCTGTGAATTCACTCTCTCCAGTTACTTACAATAGTCTACAGACCTGAATTCAAATGAAACTATCTCAATCTGACCTTCCTGTACTACCATAAAGATCCCTAATACACTCTTCTCACAAAACCAGACTTTTTCCTCTTCAAAGCCCTTGTAAATTCCCAAAATGACCATGTTTGTTTGCATGTTAACTTACTCATCTTGAACAGCCAAGGCATACATTCTCTTGCAAAACACCCATGAATATCTGCAGTCTAAACCAAACGTAAATGTTCAACTAACATTTCCTATTTGAGGATACTATTCTTAGCCTATGGTGGTTTGCTTTTTTTCCCTCCCTCATTTATTCTCCCACACTTCTCTCCTGTGTTAGCAATTCTGCCTCCTTCATGCTCAATGTCTTTGTCCATGGACTTCAACAGTGAACTAAGTATAATAAAATCACAAAAGCTTAGGACTTCCTACAGACAACAGTTTCACCAATCACTAACCATCCCTTCTTACCCCAACCTGGCTGCCCTCAAAGAAGTCATTTATGGTAGGAATGGAAAATGAAGTTTTCAAAGAACCTATAATTTGAGTGGGTGATGTCAAACGTTTCTTAAAACCAGAAAATTGTACACTGACCATAGGCTATTCCTGTAAGTGATGCCTAGTCTTGCAATTCCCACCCATTCTTGGCAACTGTTTATCTGACATCGTTGTTTATTAGCCTTAAATATTATTAAGGACGCATTTCTTTTGGCCAGCTGTTTTTCTTTGTAAGTCTGCCTAGTGCTCACAAAATCTAGTCCTCATTTCCTTCCCAGGCATATAAAAGTTCATAGTTCCAATCTCCCTTGCAGTTAGAAAACACATTAGATGTTCTAGCCAATGAAATACGGACAAAAACGTGACACATCTAACTTTTTGGTTCATGAAAAGGAAAAGTTTTCCACGTTTCTCTGCCATGTT